ACTTTCCGTGATCCAATCGAGCTGACATTTTCCACACAGACTCGTTGTGCGTGACAATTAATGGTCGTGAAAAAAATTCCAAAATTTTATACTTTTTAGGACAAAAATATTATATTTAATTACCAATTGCTTAATACTGCAGACAATCATCTGACCCATAGGTGGCAGCCATCTCAAGCCAGAGGATGAGAGGACTCTAGCCGCCACGCATATAAAGGATTTATAGTGAAAAACGTTGTTTTTACGGTTATACTTGTTTTGTCATTGTTGTTGTTGTAACGTTCTTAGCCCGTGCCCCTTACTGGACATCTGTGCATAAAAGAGCTTTGTAGCTCATCGGATTCCTCCCGCAGTTTAAATAAATATTCTGATTAATGATATCTGATGTTGGTTGTCAAGGCCCCCCCTCCTCCCCTCCCAACTCGTAGCTTTGGCCACCGGGGGAGGGGCGGGGTGGGGGGGCAAGGCAGCTCCCCCCCCCCCCACTTGGCTGCCCCCCACGATCGTCACGTGACCGGTCACCGCATTGCGAATGGCGAGAACCACCCCGTAGCGCCCCCCTCCCCTCCACCTCATCCCCCACCCCCACCCCTTCACCCCCATCGCCCCCTCCACTTCTCCCCCTCCATCATCCCCATTTCCCCTCCACCTACTCCCCCACCAGCCCCCCTCCACCCCCTCCCCCCCCTCCACCCCCATCTCCCCTCCATTGCCCCCTCCACCACCACCCCCATCCCCCCATCTCCCCTCCACCACTCCCCCTCCACCCCCCACTCGCCTCCCCCATCAACCCCTCTACTCCCTCTCCACCCCCCATCTCCCCTCCTCCACCCCCCACCCCTTCACGCCCCCTCCACTTTTCCCCCTCCCCCCTCCATCATCCCCATCCCCCCATCTCCCCCTCCACCCCCCTCTCGCCCCCCCCTCCCACCTTGTTCATGTCGAAGGTCCTGAACATCTGCTCGATGTAGGCGTTGCCCTCCGCCGTGACGCTGCTGATGCCGAAGAACTGCTTGAACTCGTGCAGCGTCAGCTGGCCCGAGGGGCACTCTCGCATGAACTTCTTGTACCACAAGTGGATCTCCACCGAGTGGAGGTCGTCCACCACGGAGCCGTTCTCGTTCCCCATTGAGCTGCCCTCGGAGGTGCCCTCGGAGGTGCTGATGGTGGTGCTGGTGGTGGTGCTGGTGTTTGTAAGTGGTGTTGATGGTGGTGCTGCTGGTGGTGCTGCTGATGGTGGTGCTGGTGGTGGTGGTGGTGCTGCTGGTGGTGCTGGTGGTGGTGCTGGTGGTGGTGCTGGTGGTGGTGCTGGTGTTGGTGCTGGTGCTGCTGGTGGTGGTGCTGGTGGTGGTGCTGGTGCTGCTGGTGGTGGTGGTAATACGATGACCGCCGAGCTGTTGGTGACTTGGCCGGTGACCCGTGGCGTTATTTCCCACGCGGCGGTCAAAGTTGGCGTGAGGATTTCGACGGTAATAAAACGTCAAAATCCTCTCCCTCTCTCCCCCTCTCTCTCCCACTTTGTTTTACGTTCAGAGGAAACAAGAAGATACTCGGTGTAATCGGCACTTTGCTTCGTTCATCATTTAGTTTTTTTTGTTTTTTTTTTCAATGCTTTGCTTTATGCCTCCCACACTTTTTAAATGAAAGATTTCACAAAAGATTTCACGCTCTGCTCTCCTCCCTCTCTCTCTCTCTCTCCCTCTCGCTCTCTCCCCCCTCTTCGGAGGCGATGGTTGTCTTGCCCGACGCCTCGGCCACGATTGCACGGTGCCCGTCCCCACGGCAAGGCTCGCCTCGGCCACTCGGCGAACTCGAAACTTTGCCAACTCAGAACAAAGTCCCGAGGACCCCCCCCCTCCCTAGCCGACGAGCGACTAACACTGACTGACTGTGCTCCCCATGGAGAAATTGTTAGCTTTGTTGAGCTGAGCGGTTTTGTTTGACCACACACACCGCTCTCTATCCAGATCGCGAAATAACTATTTACGAATATATATTAATGTTCACTATGGGAACCTCATTTGCCAGTAAAAATATGATAATTGGTTCTTTACCCTTCTATCTGGCAACAAAACTGACACCTTTTACAAGGAGTCATGTTTGCATAGACCGCAATACCTGCAGTCATAATACAAACAAAGGAACATAACTCTGATAATGTGCACTGTCCTTAAAGTTGATTGGTCCACACCCGAGACAGCTTTCCTTTGAGCCTAGTCTCATATGGGTGTACCTAGTCTCATATGGTGTACCCATATGAGACTAGGCTCAAAGGAAAGCTGTCTCGGGTGTGGACCAATCAACTTTAAGGACAGTGCACATTATCAGAGTTATGTTCCTTTGTTTGTATTATGACTGCAGGTATTGCGGTCTATGCAAACATGACTCCTTGTAAAAGGTGTCAGTTTTGTTGCCAGATAGAAGGGTAAAGAACCAATTATCATATATTAATGTTGTTTTATATATGTTAAAAACAGACAAAACGATTGAATTCCTTCATTCAGACGCTGTCTTTCCGACAGACCTGTTCTTCACCTGAGGACGGCTGCTTGCGTTGTGGCCGAAACGTCATGAGAATTATTTTATTATTATTATTTTATTATTTCTCTTCTACGTGACTTTAACGAAAGAACCAAGAAGATGAATCCCTGCAGGCACGAAAGCTTTAAATCGAAAGTTGTTGTTGTTTGGACGGGCGACGCAAATGAAGCACGTGGCCTTGGTGCCGGTACATGTCACTTGACATTCTGCTGCCGGATCGAGAGACACGTCGGGGCAGGGCATAAATGTTGACGAAGTTTCCCAAACTCAGAGAATTGCCGATTAAAAAAAAACAATATCGCTCTCCTACATCTTATTTGCCACGTGTCTAAATACATATTTTTTATGATTGTCAATGTAGAAGACGGATATCTTTCTATTTAACATGTTCATACTCGTCAACCCAAAAGGTTTATATATTCTTAGGTTTTTTCGGTAAAGTCACGTAGGTAAAAAATTCAAATTAATAAAAGTAAAATAAAATAAAAATCACGACGTTTCGGAGGCAACACAAGCTTCCGTCTTCAGGTGGAACCGTCACAGCACGATAGCTGTATCAAGTGATACAGCTATCGTGCTGTGACGGTTTTTTATTTTAAATTTTTACCTACGTGACTTTACCGAAAAAACCTAAGAATATGAATCCTTGCAGTCACGAAAGCTTCACATCTAGAACCAAAAGGTTTACCCCGTATTCTTGTATAGGGAAATAGAGTTTTCAGGTCCATACAGCGTACAGCCATTTCAATACGGGCTTTGTAGGATGAACGTTGAGATTTTTAAGGGGCACGGGGTGACCAATAAGGTCTGAATTGGTCTGTAATAAGGTAGGTACTGATAAGAGGTTGACAGGTATGTATGTTTTTCAAATTTAAAAACTTAATAACATTCGAATAAATATCACATTTTATCGATACATCCAATGTGGAGACTCGGAGCTTGATCGTGTCTGGCTCGCACAACTTGTGAATGCCATTCATAAACACATTTTTGTTTTGGCAAGTAATGCGCTGTTTAAATTCCAGTCGAAATAAATAAACCGACCCGCCATAGCCACGAATCCGCTCACGAAACCTGCAAAACTTCGCAAACGTTCAGGTCACATGAGCAATTGTAAATGCTTCCGAATCCGTCAGGGGAGAACGAGCAATACATCGTTCGCGAAACCAAAAAACCTTAACACAGGCACACGCGGTACGTTATAATATTTGACATTCGTGGCCGAGTATAACCGCTGTGAATGGCTGTCTCCCCCCCCACCGCCCGCGCTTGAAAAGGATGTTAAATTAATTAGGCCGCTATACCAGCGAAGGACACTAGCAACGCAAATAATAAAATAAAAACCAACCGCTAACATCTCGTGTGATTTGTCGGTCACGTTTCACGACGCACGGTAAGTCGTTTTATGTCCTGAAGGAGAGGGCGACCTTCCTGCCTAGTTACTGCCCAGCGCGCCGCAGACTCGGGTTTTGCAGATCTCCGGGAGCACGACCGAAAATAATGATAAATAAAAACCACCGATACTCGCCACTTGGCCTCATGCCCACAGAGGTTTTGGCAAACCGTCGTGCCGATGTCCGCGTTGAGCAAAACTGCAAGGCACATGGACAGGATTCATTCGATCTTGAGGGTGCGACCGGTCGAAATTTACTTGAGGGTGAGGTTACATTTTCTTGCGGTCAGGTTAAAAAAAAGTTAAAATGCACGGGCACAATCGCAAAAACCTTCCGTTGTTCGGATGGCTTCCGTTTACGAGTGGTACGAGCCCACACGCAGGCTTGGTTACAGGCGCTGTGAGGTTAGACGCTGCATGGGTGCAATGCAAATGATGCTCCAATTTACAGGTGGTAAATTAGGGTCTTGCCGTGGAGTGGGAATTAATCTCGGCAAGCGAATTGGTTAGATTTCCAGTCTCGGGAATTTTAAGGTGAAATATCCAGACAGGAACAACTGTGTGGAAATGGTTCCTGCCATAACAATGTGGAATTTTCTTTACTACTTGCTGTCAAACAAGTTAAGCGCCGCCCGGCACATTTAAACCTAACTCAGGAGTTGTAATGCAACGCCCAACTGCTACAAGGCAATATGGTAGAATACTGATAATAATGATGCCGCCATTAATTTAATTGTTAAGAAAATCTCGCAAACCCTATGCTAAAAAAATCCAGGCGTGTATCCGACCAAATCCATTTTGAACCTTTATTCCAAGAAATCGGAATACATGAAAACCCCGCTGAAGAGACGGGTCAGAAACCTACTTGCTGTGCTGTCCACCCTCCACACCCTCGTGGGGGGGGGTCACAAACCCGGCGTCCCCGAGGAGATGTGGCAGCAAATTCCCGGCGCGTCCCAGCCGGCACGATCGGCCGCACGATTCCGATCAACTCGGCACGCGGGTGCGGACGAGACGACCATATAATTCGGCAACCGAGGGCACAACGACCGACGAGACGGCGGCGTCACCCGTCCGGCGCCGGGTACGCCCGGTTCAGCGTCACCTCCACGCAATCGGCCCCAAGCCGGCACTGCTCAAGCACGAACAGCATCCTCCGGCCGGCGAGAGGCGATGCCGATTCGGTGACCTGCAGCGGCGAAACCCCGGGCGGCACGCTGCCGTGCGCCAGAATCTCCAGCAGCCCGGCACGCTCCTCGGCCAACGGGCACGCGGCCCGGCGGTCCCCGCGGTCCCACACCGGCACGAACGGCACGTCCAGCGCCACCTTGCGGTCCAGCCCCAGCAGCGTCATCACGAAGTAGCCGACGAGATCGCACGCCGGGCGGAAGGCTCCGGCGTCGGGCGCGGCGTCCGCGGGCAGGCTGGCGCGGCGTGCCGGCTGCAGGTTGCAGAGCTCGCGCTGAGCGTCGCGCCGCTCGTGGTCGTAGCGCCGCATCACGGCCTCGGCCGGCAGCTCGCCCAGGCGCAGGTGGTCGGCGAGGACGAGCTGAGAACCGGACCAATCGTTGGTCTCCCACAGGGCCTTGGCGGAGTTAGGCTCGCGCGCCGCGGGACCCCGCGCCGGCAGGATCTCTCGCGACGCGGCCAGCATCGTCCCGCGCTCGGGACCGGCCGTAGTCTCCGCCGACGGCGCGAACAAGTTGGCGACGCTCCCTTCGTTCGCGTTCACCGGGGCGCCGGGCGGCCCGGGCTGTCGATGGTTTCCCACGACGTTGTCGAGCCTCGGCTTCTTCTTCGCGGCGCCGTGACTGGCGACGGCCGCCCGCGGCTCCGTTTTCCTCGAGCGCAGGTTGTAGCTGCGCCACTCGACCACCTGCGCGGAGGTCAGCGGGACGTCGTCCTCGTCCTCCGTCTCATCCTCCGCTTGCGATGGCTGCACCGCCGCCGCCGCCGCCGCCTCCTCCGCCGCCTCCACGCCCCAGAAAGACGCCGAGGGCGACGCGTCGTGCACGCCGTTCTCCTGCCCACCCGCCCCCTCGCTCAGCTCCACGTAGCGCACCTCCGCGATGGTGCCCTGAACCACCAGGCGCTTCTGCTCGCGGTAGTGCAGCCGGGCCACCTCCGAGCGCAGTTCCTCCAGCGGGGTGACGGTGAGCGCCGTCGGCCGTCCCGCGGCGAACTCCGCCAGCGTCGTGGGCAGCGGCGGGAAGACGTAGCACCCGCCCACCGCCGAGCGGGCCAAGAAATCGTCGTCCGCGATGCCGCAGCACCACTGCGCCACCTCGAGCACCGCGGGCTCGGCGGCGTACGGCTTGCCGGCGTGCTGGCCCGAGACGAACACCTGGCTCTCGACGGACGTGGTGAGGTAGGGCCCGCCGAGGCCGTGCCTGACGCGCATCTGCGTGCACACGACGAGCGTGGCGGGCCGCAGGAGGTCGTGCACGTCGGGCTGCGACGTGGCGAAGAGCTGCAGCACGAAGGGCTCCTCGCTGCTGGCGTCCACCGCGTGCACCCAGCGGCACACCCAGAAGTCGTCGCGCGCACGCCACGGGTTCTCCTTCTTGCGGATGCGCTCCTGGCGCCCCACGAACGACACCAGGCCGACCACGTCGCACGCGCGGTCGGCCGGCAGCGAGCCGAGGTCTCGGCGGCGGGTGAAGCAGTAGCGCCCCTCGGGCAGGTGCCAGGCCGGGTCCACGCGGCGCGGGTGCACGACCCGGATGTCGGCGGCCGGGTTTCGCGAGTTCAGGTTGATCTCGAACTTCTTGAACACGGGCAGGCCCAGGTCGTAGACGTCAGGCCAGGTGCGGCACGCGAAGGCGTCCTTCAGCATGTAGTCGCCCAGAACGAGCGCCTGGCCGGGCTGCAGGCAGCGGAACCACTCGGGGCACAGCTCGTTCCACAGGACGGCGGGCACCACGCCCGTGCCGTCGCACACCTCCAGGTAGACGCGGTAGGGCCACGGCCGCAGCCTGTCCACGCGGCCAAAGTGCAGCAGCCGCGACTTGTGCAGCAGCCGCACGACGAGCGGGAGGCCCCTGGCGCCCGACGCGGCGGCCTCCGCGAGGCTCCGGACGGTGGCACGGCGCGCCGGCCGCACCGGCACGTCCTCTGCCGTCGCCTCCTCCCACCGCTGCCCGTGGTAGTCCTCGCTGTTCCACAGGGGCAGGTAGTAGTCGCGCGTTGCTCCCAGGGGCTTGTCCGCGCACGACGCCCCCGGGCCCAGGGCAGGGCCTCGGCGTCGGCGCCCACCAGCAGGCGGGAGCGCTCCGCCGTCACCTCGGCGTCGGCGATGACGGGGAAACGGACGCCGACCACCAAGCGCTCGGCCGTGCCGACGTCGTAGCGGAGGACGAGCAGCTCGCAGCCCGCCTTCAGCCGGTTCGTGTGCACCAGGTGGATCAGCCGGAGCGCCAGCGAGCACTTGAGCCGGCGCTCGCCGTCCGTCACCGTGACGTCGTAGGCGAAGCTGGGCTGCGGAGGCTGGTGCTCGCCGTGCTCCTGCGGCACCTTTAGATCGCGCAGGTAGCGCTCGACGGCGACCACGGCGACGGACGAGGGCTCCACGTTCACCTCCATGCTCTGCAGGTCGTCGAGCGTCGCGGTCAGGCGCGCCAACGGGGTGGGTTCCAGCGGCGGCAATGACGCGGGGGGTTCGGCGGAGTCGGCCATCGTCGAACGCGACGGCGGCAGTAACCGAAGGGGCGGCTCGGCACTGAAGGGTTCAAGGCGCCGGTGCAGCGTCTGCCGTCTCGCCGAAGTGCCTTGCGCGCCGAGAAGCTTGCGACGTCATCCCCCGCAGCGTTTGCCTGACCAGAGCTGAGGCTGAGAAAAAAAAAAAGAGAATTTGGCCACACGATGCCACTGGTACGTTCCTGAAGGACGACTGAGACTAAAGGTGTCTTCTTGGGGAAGGGCATAAACTGTTGGGAAGTTGAAATATATAACAGGGGTTATTACGCGGGTGGAGTCACACCACAGCCGGTTTACATCGGGGATGAGTTGCTGAAAGACACGACGGCGAATGTCGCGATGACGTAAAGCCAAGCGTTGATTACCATATAAACACATAGGCTTTTGCGACCAATATCATCCATAACAGGTTTTTTTGAAGGTTAGAAATATAAATGTCTTTAAACCCACGTCCACGCGACAAAGCCAAATAGCCAGGTTTGTCACGTAAACAGAACATGCCAATTTGTTACTAGTACATCATACCGGTGTGTTGGAAAACAAAGCCACAACATTTACAGGGTTATGTTTATGGATTTGTTTGATTAGGTTTAGGGGTATGAGTGAGGGTTATGGGTTAGGCTTGGAGTTTCTGGATATGGTTTGGAGTTAGGGCTTAGGGTTTTGGACTTGGGGGTTAGGATGTAGGGTTTAGGGCTAAATTCTGGGTTTGGAATTATGGTTAGGGTTTAGAGTTAGAGGTTAGAGTTAAGGTTTACGGTTACGTGTTATATAGGCTTTTCTTTACCACTAGATCAATGCCTTCGCAATCTATATAGGTTCATCGTGGGGGGTGGTGGGGGTGGGGTTCTGACCATACTTCACCACGCTGGTCAATGCGTAATGACCATACTTCACCACGCTGGTCAATGCGTAATGACCATACTTCACCACGCTGGTCTATGCGTAATGACCATACTTCACCACGCTGGTCTATGCGTAATGACCATACTTCACCACGCTGGTCAATGAGTAATGACCATACTTCACCACGCTGGTCAATGCGTAATGACCATACTTCACCACGCTGGTTTATGCGTAATGACCATACTTCACCACGCTGGTCTATGCGTAATGACCATACTTCACCACGCTGGTCTATGCGTAATGACCATACTTCACCACGCTAGTCTATGCGTAATGACCATACTTCACCACGCTGGTCTATGCGTAATGACCATACTTCACCACGCTGGTCAATGAGTAATGACCATACTTCACCACGCTGGTCAATGCGTAATGACCATACTTCACCACGCTGGTCTATGCAGGGGTTGGGATGTGG